GTCTTTATCAACCAAATGGTGAGAATATAAATGAAATAGATAAACATAATCTAACTAATATTATATTATTACATAAATCACCAGTTCTTCGTTCAATTTCACTTCAATTTAATTATGATAACATGCATCTATTAAACTTAACTTCGATGCCTTCGAATCTTGTATCACTTAAATTATGTATTTCTAGTTCATCATCAATCTTACCAGTTTACTCAATTATATCAATGCTTCGGCTTTGTCATTCAGTTCGATATTTAGGAATCATGGTAACATATCAAGCTGTAAATGAAAATAATGCTATTAAGTAAGTTTCCGACTAGTGAATATATTCTATAAAACAAAATTTGCATCAGAAAAATACTAAATATGATATCCATTGTTTTAGTACCTCAACTTCATCAAAACCTATAAATTATAATGATCTTCCTATATTATCACAAATGATTTCTTTTGATTTAACTATCTTTGTAAGATGTGATAGTCGTTCAATTGCTTCTATCTTACACTGTATGCCACATCTTACTCACTTTTATTTTACTATGGCTATAGCAACCTGGTCATATCCTGCTGAATTGCTCGACGGTTATGTGTGGCAAGATACGTTAGAACGTTGTGTTCCACATTTATCTAAATTTGAATTTCATATATCGATTATAAAAACAAATTCAATATCAGATTTAGATATTATTGTCAATTCATTTGCATATTTTGTACAAAAATATTCTAATTGGAATATGATTGTTCAGCGATGGAAGTTTTTTTTTGGTCGTTCAGGTAAATAAAAGCAATTTACAGATTCAAATAAATAGCCTAGGAAAAGAAAGTACTTGACGCACGATTTTTTTGGACAATCAAATTTTTAGTGAAAAAGGTGGGTTGAAGTGATACCTAAGTGAATCAAAGAAATATTTTCAGAAAGTAAAATTTTTGTAAATCTACTCTTCGAAGAAAAAATGATTTTGCTCGTATTTACAGATGTATTTGTTTTTTTAGAGGAATTTATCATGTTACGAACTACTGGCTATTGCAATTATAAAGCAAACTTAAAGATAATTATTCCTTTTATTTCTTTTGGATCATTTAATATACATTCAACAACAACATCAGATCATTATTCTCGTTCTTATTCAGATATAAATGTTTTAAGGATACACTTGACAGAGAATAAACCAATCGTTACTTGGCCAGATTCTTTATATAAAAAAATTAATCATCTCATCATAGATATGCCAATTAGACATTTATCATTGTGGAAAAGTTTATTAAATATTTGTAAGAAGGTTTTTTAGCTAACTTATCAAAATGAAATAATTTGTCTCTTTAGTTAACTTTAACGAAATGAATGATGATAACATCGACGTAAAAAAAAGCGTTACTTATCTTTCACATTTTGTTCATTTACCGAACATAACTGAACTGGAAATTTCATCAAAGAACTATGATTTATCTCGATGGTATGATATTGAAATTATTCTTCAGTGAGTATATTCTATATTTATACAGTTAATAAATGGGCTCAATGAGGCATAACGAGACATACCTCTACCTCCTAGTTCCTTAAGTTGACTGTGGTTCTCTACAAGTTTTATTTTTATCAATGAATTCTTTTACTACAGATACTTATATAAAAATGTTTCCTCTTCTACTCTACTAATTATTAAAATTATTTAGTTAATTAAAAGATAGTTACAGAAAATCTTTCTAACCATATAACAAAAACAATTTCGAAAACTTCAGGGATGGACCCTACGGGACGAGCTGCATCTATAAAAAAATTTTAAACAATGTTCCACTATAAAAATTGTCGAAAAACCGGTTTTATAGAGATTCTGACAGGTACTGAACGTGTATTTTTTGTCTTATTATCATGCAGAGACTCTGAGCTAGGTTTTGTATCGTTTGAACCTGTGTTCGACCTTCGAATCTGTTAGAAGAGTATTTCGTTTATATATTCGGACTCCGTTACGTAACTCACGTAAAGTAAATCGAGATGTGATCAGAAGAAAAAGTATCCATAGAGGTTTTGTAGGGTCATGAGTTGTCTACAATATGTAGTATTTAGATTTGAAAAAATGCTTCTCCAATCTGATGTTTTAAAAACAAATACATAAACTGGATGACGTTTATTTTTATGTCACATTCCTAACTGTAGCCTTTTCACTAATAACTCGGAGAAAAGCTTTCCAGCGCTGATTTTTTTGTTTTAGGTATCTAGAGTAAGGTAGCATAGATATAGTATTTAAAAATCAACTCTGGGAGAGCTCATTTTGTCGAGATACACTTGTTTTTTTCGCAAATCACGTTCCTAGCAAATGAAATGGCCTATATATTATTGTACAGATTGAAATTAACTTTTCGTTTGGCATTTATCTAGGATGTTAGTTCTGTGTCTCGTTCTAAATTAACGATATCTTATTAATAATACTCCCTAAAATATTCCTATAAATATATCATTGATAATTAACTAAGTTATATACTGTATTGTATCAAATAGTAATCAATGATAGTAAATGTGAATAGAATAATTGAAGTTTTCTTTTAATTTTAGATCATGTCGGAATGTAACAAATCTTAAAATTAATACTCCATTATTAATTTCATCAAAATTTATTGATAATCCATCTCTTTTTTCAATTTTCAAACAAATTAAAAGGATTACATCGATAACAGAAAAAATTTATTTTCCTTCTAAATTTGCGTTAAAACTTGTTCAACGCTTTCCATCACTTACTGATATTGAACTTATAGTTTTTACATTTGATCATTGTGTATCTATTATCGAAGTATTTCTATGTCATGTGGAACATTTATCTTATCTGAAAATTTCTTACAGTCAAAATACATTACTTGATAATCCATTTTCTCGTCATTATATTATTGAAAAGCGTCGTCAAATATTTCCAAATAATCTTCTTGATGAACGGACAACGTATGTTAAAGATAATGGAGAAGCAATACAAATTAGATTGTGATAATTGTATAAATATTCTTTATGTAAGACTACTAATAAAATAGTAAATAAATAAAAGTATTTTGTGAAATTAATTTTTATTTAAATTGAGAAAAATCATCTCATTGTTGTACATTATTCGAAGATTCCTGTAAATATAAAGGTAACTTGATTGAATTCCACACTGTGTTTATAGAAAGCTCTTGAAAACAAATACTTAACGGTTCGAAAAATATCTCATGTTTATAAATTACGAAGATAACAATAGGAATTATCTATAACTTATGAACATGAACAGAGATCATTCTGCCAAGATGAATCTTTGTTAATTTTATTCATTAATTCTTTTAGACTTAACAAAAATTGATTTAACAGTTTCTGAACAGGAAGTCGTTTAGATAATGGCTTGAGGTTAATCAGATCTAATCGTGCTATCTATTGCACCGATTAACTTCTTGCTTTAATTCTGTCCATATTATATATCATAGAAAAAGGCTTCATCGAAAAATCTGTATATTCCTCATGATATGATTCAAACATATGAAGAAAAACATACAAAAGATATCAGTCTGACAGGCTCATTTTATAATATGAGTGGTTTTCGGGAACAGACCTTGCTGATCATCACTATGATGTATTTATAGAGTAGTAGAATATGTTTATTGAAGGGGCGGAATTCTTTATTCTAGATATATGTTCTAACATTTTATTCATGTAAGACACTGGCATAGATTTATTAAAATTAATTATTATTTGTTTATATTTTCTTTATGTTATGTGCCAAGAAAATCAATGTCAATTTGATTTTCGTCAGATTAGTTCAAAATATAACTCTCAGGTTTTTATTCCAATTTCATATAGTTCTTTTCTTCAATAATCACATTGTTTTTCTTTTTCAAGAAAATTTTTATCTAATGGTTAGTTTATCTAGAGAGGTACTTTCTTTTCCAGGCAAAATCTTTAATGATTTTGTTCGCAATACATTTATACTCGATTTTGTCTTGTATTGAATAAACAAATTTAATACGGAACCATCATTTGTTTCCTATGATTCATATGCATAAAAATGTCACTTGATGGAGATAGTGAACAGTCGAATCAAAATCAAATTTTTCGTTTTTCTACATCGAATTCCTCTTTGAACTATTAATATAGATGTCGTTACTTGGACTTAACAGATAAACCAAAATAATGTGATAGTTTTTCTCACAAAAATAGTATTTTCGTATTAAGTAACAATATGTTCACTTTATTAAATAAAAATCAAGGATAAATAATAGTGGTCGAAGTAAAATTCTTTGTTTCTGTCTGTATTTGTGATTGTAGTCTATTCATGCTTTACAATAGTGAATGCTTTGATTGTTCATTGTATTTTTATTTCATGCATTTCCATTTCAACATGTACGATGGTTTTTAGATAATAACTCTTTTTTTTTAGATGCCGAATGATCCAAGTAGATATCAATATCTCCCATATGTAAGTCAAAACAACTTTCAATAAAAGGATCTATTTGAATAAGTTGGAAGAATGAAATAGGACAGAGAGAACTATGTGAGAAATAGAATGAATTTTCTGTCATGGTTTCTTTTTTGGAAAATTTAAAGAATCTCGAAACTGTTTCAAAATTTTCATCAGTAAAGAAACCCACTAAATGTTTGACATTGCTATAATTTAGAAAAATGGTGAACGGACAATTGATCACAGGAAATTGATCATGGGACAACTGATCACGGACAATTGATCATGGATAATTGATCATGACAGACAACTGATCACGGCGGACGACTGATCATGAATAACTGATCATAAAGGAAAATTGATCATGAAGGGTCATGAGATCACTGTTATCGTTTATCATATAAAAGAGGGTGTGGATGTGTGGGTGTGGGTGTGATACCTATTTTGCTTCTCACCCACACCGACACCCCACACTCACACACCCCCACCCCCACACCCCACACCCACATCCACACCCATACCCTCAAGATCAGTTATCCCTTATGATCAGTTGTCTATGATCAGTTGTCGTCATGATCAGTTTTTCCATGATCAGATGATCATGATCAGTTGTCCATGATAAGTTATCCCATGATCAGTTGTCCTAGACCCATATATAACAATTTGATTTTTATATGGTCTCTTATTCAGTTGTTCCGTTTGAAGACTATAAAAGGATGCTAGTTCATGAATAAAACGCGCTTCGTCAACATGCGTTGGTAAGATTGGACACGCTAATTTTGAAGCATCATCATGATTTTGATGATGTGATGGATGACCATAACGTGTAGTTAATTTAACAAGATTTTTAAATGCTTCTTCAATAACTCGAACACGTTGTAAATGTCTTCTTGCATAACTAACTAAGAAATTTGTATATGCAATTGTTGATGGTGGTGGTTTATTGAGATTAATTGATAATGCTTGAGCTGTTGATTTACTTGATTGTCCACAATGACATTGAATAGATTGTTTATTACATGGTGGGCATGGTCCATTATGACATTGAGCTGAACATTGATGATGATCATTTATTGGACCATATGATGAAATTTTTTCACATAATTTCTCACAAGTTGGTAGCTAAATAAAAAATCTCATTTTCAAAAAAAATAATAATAATTAATTTTTTAAATATACTGAATCAATACATGATGATCGTTGCTGATTATCCATAATTGTTTTTCCACAAGCACAAGTATTACAATTTTCTGGTAAAAATAAACAATCCGGACATGGTCCATCATGACATGTTTTTGTACATTTATGATGACCACATGAAAGTAATTTTCCACAAGATTCACCGCATGAAAATGTTTTTATACCACCAGTTTCATTACTACATACTACTTCACGTTCAATTCCATGTGATAAACATGTTTGTTTAATTAATTGATCACAGTGTGGACATTCTCCGACATGACAAATCTAAAATTAAATAATAAAAATAAAATTTTAATTTATTTAAATAAATTTACTAAATCACAAATATGATGTTGACATGATTTAAGTTTTTCACATTTATTTTCACTAATTAGTAACTAAATAAAAAAATCTATTTTTCAAAAACAATACATTTTTTAATCATACTGGTTCTACATATGATGTTTGTTGTTCATTATTTATTTTTGAAACGCCATCTAGATTTACAAATGTCTAAATCAAATGAAATATATTAATATTATATAAACATAATGAGAATGTTTTCTACTTACCAAATTGACATCAATTTGTGCCTTGGCCATTGTTTTTAAAAAATGATGCTTTGTTTAATCTAGAAAGAATATATATGTTCCAGTAGAAAATAAAATTTAGTAGAATTTTAAATTGTCCTAGGAAAAATTAAAGGGTCTAGGACAATTGCTCGCAAAAATACTTCTTCACGACTGTGAGTGTAAGTGTGGATATGTGTGCACGCAGAGAAGCTCTACACCTACACTAACTCAGATTCACACCATTCACTAACTAAGACGATCACCCTCATCCTCATTCGTACCCGTGAGCAAGTATCCTGGGAGTAACTGTCTGGCTTACAATAATTCTCCACCAGATCGAACCGAACCGGCCGTTTAACATTACGGATTGCAACTCTGATTTATATTATTATAATGACTTGATTTTACTATGTTAAAGAATTGAATTTAATGTCATAATAACTGTTTAGCATAGATATATATTACATAGAAATCTAAGAGAACAAATCACAGAATAGAATTAATGATATTTATATGCAAAGAAACATAAAAGATAAAGTCTAAATATTTAAATAGAATATTGAAATTTTAATTTTTTCTATTTAATTTTTTCTTTCGTTTAACATATCTATCGTTCAATAGCAGCTATATCTGCATTTTTGTGTACTCAAAAAGTGAGTACACTCTAGAATCGGTCAGTATG